AAGCAGGTGCCCCTTCACCGGCGTGCGCGTGCTTACTGGGCAGTCAAAGGCCCTGAGATAATGTTCCTTGGCCTGGTGCTGGCCTTGATGATAGGGTTTGGTGTCTGGCAATTCGTCAAGTACCTTACCTTCGATCAGTATACGCCAGCGTTCGGATGGGGAGCTGTCTTGTCCAAGACATGCGCCGGTGTGCTGTACCCGACATTCTTCTTTCTGATCCTGTCCATGTCACGATGGCTCTCGACATTCCTTCGGCGCTTCTACTTCATCTCCAGGTTCATCAACTGGGACCTATCGCAGAGTTTCCACATCAAGATGTCCATTGTCGCATTGGTGTTTGCGACGCTACATGCTATTGGTCATCTTAGCGGTTCTTTCGTCTTTGGAAGTAAGCCCAATCGACAGGACGCAGTTGCCAATGTCATCGGACAGGACGCTGTACCACGTTCATACACTGACTACCTTCGATCATTGCCAGGGTGGACTGGTCTCACGTCTCTCGGCCTGTTCTACCTTCTCGCGTTGATGAGCATGCCCCAAATACGAAAGTGGAGCTACGAGGTCTTCCAGTTAGCTCATCTGCTCATGTTCCCCATCATCGGTTTCATGATGGCACACGGTACTGCCCATCTGCTGCAGTGGCCAATGTTCGGCTACTGGCTCGCTTTCCCTACTCTCATGGTTCTCTGCGAACGCGTGTGGCGCTTGATCCTAAGCTTCCGCCCGATCCTTGCAGATCTTGAGTTACTAGACGACGAGACTGTTGCCATTACTGCTCAAGTACCCAAGACTCGCCCGTGGGACTACAAAGCTGGCCAATACGTGTTTGTGCAGGTCCCGCAGTTATCCCGGTTCCAGTGGCATCCATTCACCGTGTCAACTTGCATCAACAACACCATGCAAGTTCACATCAAAGCAGACGGTGACTGGACAAACTCGCTGCGCGATCTGGCCAAAGAAGGAGGACGAAAGACCATCAAGATCGGTCTTGACGGGCCATTCGGTGCACCAGCTCAGCGGTTCTATGACTTCGAGTACAGCATGGTCTTTGGGTAAGTCATCGCTTTTGTTTCTTCGGAAACTTTGCTAACATTTCACAGTGCTGGTATTGGCATAACACCTTTCTCGGGTGTACTGACCGACCTCCAACACCACGAGCTCGAGCGCGTCAAATCTGCGAACGACTCCCCAGCATCGCCCGACGAAACGCCCAAAGAGCCTTCGCCGTACACGAACCATCGTCGAGTCGATCTACATTGGATGGTCCGCGACAAGAACAACCTCCTCTGGTTTTCCGATCTTCTCAACGAAGTCTTCCGTCAGAAACCAAACAGCGAAGATCTCGACATCCGCATCAACACCTACGTAACGCAGAAGCGCAAGCAAATCTCCCAACACGTATTCCGATGGCTGCTCGAAAAGCATCGCACAGATGAGCATCCGCAATCACCCATCACTGGTCTTGTCAATCCAACTCATTTCGGACGTCCGGACATTCGGGGTATTATGGAAGCACACTACGACGATATGAGCAAGGTCCTGGCAGATCGTTTGAACGAAAAAGATGGCAACAAAGATGATGAGATCAAGATTGGAGTTTTCTTCTGCGGCCCACCTGTTATCGGTCAACAGATTGCCGATCAGTGCAGCATGCTGAGTGCGAGGGCGAGGAACGAGGGTAGGAAGCTTGAGTATAGGTTCATGATCGAGGTGTTTGGTTAGCGATAGATGATGATACCTCAAGGCTATTTGTAATAAATCTTCCATTTCCGATATGAACGCTGGAGCCCAAGCTTCATCAGGTGGCTGTTTCCAAAGTCCGAGTAATGACAAGCCCTGGAGCATTACGATGACTGTGTCAGGTGTAATTCTTCGTGCTTGCCATGTGTGTACCTGCCCACGTGGATAGCAAGGGATTGGGCACGTGCCCAGGCGCTAAACCGCGTCACTAAAGCCGACGTGTCGGAACCGTCGTCATTCACCGACCGGAACGCTTTCACTCAACCACCAAAGACACTACACCTTGTTCAAACCCCATAGTTGGAAGCACAGCGCGCTTTACAACCCGCTTCTGAACAGATACCCCTACTCCGCGACCGAGACTCCGACCTTCCGCAACCCAAACCCACCCCGCGCACACGACCGACCCCCTCACTCCCGTCTGTACACCCCCGCTTCCAACCGATACACAACATGGCGTCCTCAGCTTCAAAGCGCCTCTTCAAAGAATACCGCATGCTCTCGAACGACCCGCCAGAAGGCATTACCGCGGGCCCAGTCAGCGAAGACGACATGTTCGTGTGGGAAGCGCTGATCCAAGGCCCGGAAGGCACACCCTTCGAAGGCGGCGTCTTCCCAGCCGAACTACGGTTTCCGAAGGACTACCCGCTTGCGCCGCCGAAGATGAAGTTTATGACGGAGATGTGGCATCCAAATGGTATGTTTGACAATGTGGACATGCTTCCGATTGTGCTCTGGGACGCTTTCTTGTCCATTCGAGACGCATGAGCTATTATTACTAGAATCACAAGCTAACAACACTTCCAGTATACCCCAACGGCGAAGTCTGCATATCCATCCTGCACGCCCCTGGCGAAGACCCCATGCACTACGAACAAGCCTCGGAACGATGGTCACCCATACAAAGTGTCGAAAAGATCCTGATAAGCGTCATGAGCATGCTAGCAGAGCCGAACGACGAGAGTCCAGCAAACGTAGATGCGGCGCGTATGTGGAGAGAGAAGCGCGACGAGTATGAGAAGATTGTACGGACGAATGTGAGGAAGAGTCTGGGGCTGTGATGGAATTGAGAACAGATTGGAAATCACGAATAATGGATGCATAGCGTAACAGGAGTCTTTTCGGTGCTGGGTATTATGTAGCTCATATGTGTAGAAAGACATCATGATTCTTTCAGGATGAGTGACACAACAAGCGATAGGGTCCATGTGATGCTACAAGGTTGAACTTGTATCGCTGGCGAAAATCAGGCCACGCTAATCTAGTCATATGAATACCAAAAGCACACAATCAGTCCAATTTACCACATCGTCCGTTCAGCCATCCTACCATTACCTTTAGACAATCTCCAATCCTGAAGCCTCTCCATACCCATTATACGCCACGCCGCGGAAGTTCCACTTTGGACACTTCTCCTGCACATTACCGCTCTTATCTGTCGCCCGACTGTAAATTGCGACATCCTTACCCTTCTCAACCTTGACTCTTGCCTTCCACAAAGCCCACGCCCACTTGAGTTCAACATCCTGAGCATCTTCCCCCTCGTAGGCTTTGATTAACTCAGCTTCCGTCCATGTTGCCCCTCCATCGACACTGACTTCGACTTTGACAATGGGTCCATCCGCTCCACTAGGCAGTGCATAACCCTTGACTTCAATCGTCCCATCTGCGTCTCGTTGCACAGTACTACCCGATTTGGGAATTCCAATGACGCTGTTGACCGGCATGTCTTGTAGAGCATCGACCTTGCCCCAGTACTCCTCCGCCTTTTCTTTCGAATCGGCCTCTGGAGGTAGGACTTTGTAGTCGTGTTGCTGATAGTGACTTTGGCTCTCGGTCAGTTGGACGGAAATGGAGTCAAGCCACTTGACGCTTCTCGCTCCAGCGATACCAGGAGTAACAACGCGGACGGGAGCACCGTGGTTTGGTGGAAGAGGCTTGTCGTTCATTTGAAGGGCGAGTAAAATCGAACTCTCCCGATCCATGGCACGTGATAGTGGGATACTGGCCCCGTAGAACTCATCTTCTTGGGTAGGCGTCTGGTAGCATGAGAAAGCCACATGCGCTTCGCTGAGCTTGTTCTCCTCGACCTTGACACCAGCCTTCTCCAGAACGTCTTTAAGAAGGGGGCCCGTCCATTTGCAGTTCATGACTGCGCCATCGAACCAGTCAATTCCGGACACCTCCTTCAACTTTGTACGCATGGTGTGACGACGGTTTCCAGCACATTGTAGTGCGCATATTACGGTGTGTTGAGGAAGTGCTTCGAGGTCTGCGATGGAAAGCGAGAGTTCATTGTTGACGAGTCCTATTACGGAGACTTTGTGTGTGCTCGCATCGATGTGGGGAATGGGTCCGTGATTGCGGTCGTAGCCGTCTTTGGTGATGAAACTGTAGACTGTATCAGTATCGTGACTGCGTAGATCTTGAAATTGGACTGTGAGTGTCCTGGATCCAAGGATTATGATCGACTGAGCCCACTTTCAGGACGCCGTGCGTGAACGGCTGGTCCCCTACTAGCGCCTCCTATCATCTCTTCCCAACCCAGTCTCCTTCACCCTCACATGCAATGAACACTAGACGTACCTTTCAACCAGCTTCTCAAGCTCCGGCTCGCGATTAAGCGGCTCCTCAACCGAGTACTCAAGCTTCTACCGCATCATCAGCCCTGTCATATCAACCCGAATAAACATATCGACATAGTCTACCGCATTAGGAAACCCATATAAAAATCTGGGGGCGTACCTGGATCATGGTCGTCGATGCTGATTTGGCGGATATGGCGTGATTGAGGCTAAGGGAAGAAAAGGTGGCGGGGCACGCAGGCTATAAGGCACAAAAGCGGGGGCGGGGTAAGAGCGAGGTAGGAGCGACGAGGTTGTTTGCTGGTGCCACACGATGCATGTGACTTGGGCAGATGCGTCGGTGAACGGCGGATAGGTGCGGCTCTTTGCTATCTTCTATGGGGAAGTCAGATAGCTGGGGCAATGAGGGTGGAATGAATGGGCACGCTGTTTGCCGTCCTGCATGACGTTTGTTCAACAATATATTACGACATCTCTATCTTCGATGACCTCGATCTACTGGCGATATACGATCACCATCGGTGAGGGTTGTGTTCTGGGTAGTCTTTGAGTTGATATACATTTACATTTCTAGACTGGCAAAGATGCAGCCCTCATTCGCCCAGTGCTATGATACATGCTATAGCTTACACAACAGCTTCTCAACTACAGCGCTGGCTCTGACGCCCAGTCCTCCTATGCGTAACTTTCTCCTTGGGTCTTCTCAACAGTATCCTTAATGTAGCGCACATACGCCGGCATCAGCGGCTTGCCCTCCTTGTTTTTGGACATGTCGTCCAGCGACCGTACACCCTCGATCAATACTAGCTTTGTTCTAGTCTCGAACATCTGTGCCTCTTCTGACATGGGCATTTCAGCGCCGAGCACCTTGCGAGACGTCTTAAGAGCGTTCCATATGATAAGTACCTCAAGAAGTTCGTAGCAGTGGTCGGTGATGTGTTCCAAAAGTTTGGTGACGTTTACGAAATCAGTAGCTCTCTTGTCGGAGTTTCTAGATATAGCATCTAGTGATGTCTGGAACGTTTTGTCAGTATTGGTCCGCACATGCAGGAAGATGATGGGGGAAGATGTACCGTGTATCCGCTCTGCTGTAGCGCGTGGACCAGGCGACTGGAAAGTTTCTTGACCTCCTCTTTGTCTCCAGCGTATCTGTCGGCGAGTACAGCAGCCATTTCTGTCGGCAGCGCAACCACAGATGGCCTCCCTCTGTAGTCGCCTTCGGCAAACTTCTCCGGTTTTCCGCGCGGTTTCACGGGCAATCTCTTGCCTACATGGTGTTCCTCATCCTCCATGAGCTCCACCACTTGCTTCGCCAGTTTGTGCGCCTTGATTGTATCGTCCTGTGCCCAATCGGCCAGAGCCGCTTTGTCGTGCACAGTCCTCAACACCGTACGCAAAACACCGTAATTGTTCAGCTTGACCCCGGTGTCCTTTGCTCTTTGCAACGCCTTCAGAACAAGATGCTGCATGCCTGCAAGGTTCAACTTCCTGATAACGAGCTCCTGCCACTGCCAGTGGACCTGAATCCCGGCCTCTTGGCATCCCTCCAAGCATTTGACAACATTCTCCCAGTCCTCCTTGGTTTCGCTTTGGTCACAAATCGCCTTGAGCCGCTTGTAACGATTCGGTAGCCTATTGCGGTCGAGGTGTTCAAGAGGCAGGGTGACCTCTCCCAAGGTAATCTCTATAGGCTCGGCTTCGAGTTTTGCGCGGCTCTCTTGCGAGTATACGAGCTTCTGTTGCTCTTTGGTCAAGTGTTCGGGGAGAAGGATTTGCGAGTTGAAGGTCGATAGGAGCTTGGATAGTTCGGGAGAAGACGGTGGGAGAAAGTTGGGAAGAGAGCCTGATGTTCGCATTAGTAGAGTGTATATACGAAGGCGGTTCGGGAGTGATGCGGACCTCGTTGGCTCACCGCAGTGCGCGAAAATGCGCGTCTTGAGCCATTGGCGTAGAGACAGATGTTTTCTGGTCGCAACAATGCCGATTGGCAGCCCCGCCGTATTGAATACATGGTATGGTGTGTGCTGAATGCCCTGGTCGCATGGCGTGGGCAAAGTCCAGAAATTTGGCGCAAACGCGTCAAACGCGCCAAGCCATGTCGGCGGCACTTTCGCTTTCTCCGACAGGGCAGCCACGACTCCAGCCTCAGGTGTTACACAGCCACATTGCGGTCCCTCTTTCCCAGCAAGCGAAATGTCAGCCCCCAGGAGGACCAACCGCTACAGCTGGCTCTTCCCTCGAGCCAAGAAGACCACCAAAATGGACAACGAGCAAGCCACCTTCTGGCTGAGCCAGTTCATCGGGAAGAACTTGCGCATACACGCCAGTGATGGGCGAGTATTCGGAGGCCAGATGAAATGCACAGACAAAGTACGAGGTCATGACGTGTGGGGAGTCGTGCTGTATTAACTTGACATAGGATCGTAATGTCATTCTTGCACTCGCACACGAGTACCGTGCGCCATCAGCCGAGACGATTCGCAAGGCTGTAGAAGAGTCGGGAAATCCATCTGCATCTGTCGCTTGGAACAGCCGCTACGTCGGACTCATCGTTGTGCCTGGGCAGCATATCACGAAGATCGAGTTTGAGGAGAGTACGTTTGCGGGCCAGAAGAGCACGGTGACGCTTTGAAGGAGCCGACTATGGATGTGTAACTCAAGACGCGCGCGCTCACTGCGAGTTGCGGGCTGCGTATGTATGGCACCATGCCTGGAGTGTCTTCGAGGGCGGGTGCAAGCCAAGTACGAAATGTGTTCGGACCAGCCATATTGTTAGTATTGCGTTCGAGTGCTGTGATAGGGCCCGTGCTGACTATTGTAGGCAATGACAGTGGCAGAAGCGAAGGTGAACTGGTCGCCGCGGTGTGGTAGTGAGCAGTGACCCGTAATACTATTGTCCAACTCCAACAATAGCAGAATAATGTTGCATTGTTGCAGACTACAAGCAACTTCTTACTCACCTCTTGACATTTTTTATGTAACCCTAGAGCCTAGATCATCCTCTTCTCAACACCAACACGACCGTACCACACATCGAATTCCTCAGTACTATGCATACATCCTGCAACAGTCCGACGAGAGAGGGCTCGTACGCCTCAAAGCTCTCCCAGGAGTCACCAGTTACGATCGAAAATTCCGAGCCAGACAGCTACAACCCCTCCACAACCACACGATCCTCATTCAAAAATCCGTCCAAGGTCTCCAAGCCTAGAAGACGACCACCAAAAACTCACCTCAAGATCCTGGGTCCGGTTTCCTCCCACACCACTCCAGCCGCACACCAAGCCGCCGTCTCAGCATCACCGTTCCTTTCTCTCCCGGGCGAAATCCGCAACAAGATCTATGTCTACGCTCTCACTTCGGACACAAATCGCCTACCCTACGACAAACAGCATGATCGAATCGACGTCTCCAAAATTGGTGCCGGATTGCAACAAACCTGCCAAATGGTTGCATGCGAAACCATGTACATGCCATTGACATTAAACACCATTGCGTTTCCTACTTCAACAGGAAGTGGAGAAGCAGAACTGAAGATGCTGGGCTGCATGGGAAAGATCATGCGATTGGGTTATGCGTTCAACTGGCATGGAAGTTTGAAGTTCGAATTCATCTGGAGCGACAAGCGCACAACTACAGCAAATCCGCTTCGATAACGCTCTCCACCGCCCTCGGATGCCGACTAATCTCCGCAATCCTAAACCCAGCTTCCTTCAACAACCTCGCCCAATGCTCCTCCGTCCTCTCCATTCCACTCGTACAGTTCATGAGCTGCAGATCAAGCGTCGTCATCAGGTTCGTCGCACCCTTCTTCGGTAATACGACCTCGTAGATCAGGAGCTTGGAGTATCCGCGCTTGAACACAGCGGCAACCTGCGAGAACATGCGTACGCAGTCCGCGTCAGGCCAGTCGTGTGGTACGGCGTGAAAGAAGTAGGCGCGCGCATGCAATTGGGGTTGTGGCGTGAAGAAGTCGTAAGCCTGCTTCACGATCCTCTTATCCAAGTCTTCGATGGGCATCGCTACGACTTCTGGGGTGTCTTGCAGGATCAAGACATCGGCGGGCAAATTGGGATGTTTGTCTAGCAGGCGCGAGGTATCGAGGCCGTGAGCGCCACCAATGTCCACGAAGAGTGGCTTCCCGGTTTCGATTGCTGCGCCATCGACGATTCGCTTGGTGTCGTATACGTCCGTCCAGTCCATCTTGTGGTTTCGCAACGCGGTCATCAGACCCATGAAACTACTTCCCTTTCCTTGCGGATCCGCTGCGCAAGTAGCGAAGAAGTCTGTTCCGTTGGTCATATCGCGGTAGTTGTCGAGCTGGGTGAGGTCGATGGGTTCGCGGTAGTTGTACTTTTTGAGAAAGCCAGGGAGGTTACATCCAGTTGGGATGGTGTGGTCGATGCTGGACTTGGGTTAGCTGGATATCTTTGGGTGTAAATCGGGTGCTTGGGTTGTACGTACCCGCACTTTGTAATCTGGTCGGTATGAGATACCGTGTCGCCTAGCGAAAGAGAGTAGGGTGTGGGCTTCCAGGTATCGACATCTGTCTCCTCCAATACATAAAGAGCAGCGATGTGTCTCAAAAACCTCCCTATAGACCGCAAATCAGCTTTGTAATCCTTCCTGTCAATGACATGCACTCACGCAATAAATTCGGCTCAGCCTTCGTATTCGCCCATTCCAAAAGCTGATTCAAGTGCACTGGCGCACCGGGATTCTTCTTGTCGGCTTCCATCCATTTCTTCCATATACCAAGGTCGAGGATGGTCTGGACGCCAGCTACAAGCACGGGTGTCTCGAAAGACAGTCTCCAACCTTGCTCAAATGGCGTTTCGAGGCGTGTTAGTAAACGACGCGCTGCTTCTTTGGCTTCGAAGCGCTCGGCGTCTGTGGAAAATTGTGAGGGGTGGATTGCATCCAGTGTGCTGATTGTGTCTTGAAAGGATGCCATGATGTATACCTTTGGTGGTGTCTAAGTTTGTATACAGGTCGATAGACCTTTAAAAAATCGGGCCGTGGACAGTACTTAAGGAACGTCGACATGATTCATGCTTCATTGTTGTTTACTACACATTCGCGAATTCACGACTCTTCAGGTCCACTTCCCAGAAACCCCCGTCATCCCACGGGACGTCGCCTACCGCGGACGGCAATAAGAGCTTGGCACGTGTGGGGTTGCTCAGGGAGTTGATCCTTAGCGTACGTTAACACATGCCCATGACTCGATTCGGGGCACCGTCGTGACTGTTATTGCTGGGGTTGGCCTTATCTTGCAGGTCATAATCTCAACGGCTCAAGTGGGATGATTTTGACTGTCGTGGGCATCAAGTTGCCTCCAGCTGGAAAAGAACAGTTCTAGATAGGAGTGAAAGTTGCGAGTTGTGTGTGTCGACTCTATTAAATTTATAAAACTGTTGTTAGCATCAAAAGCTTCTGCGGAAGCCGTGCATAATGTCCTCGCCTCTCCGCGGAGCAAAGCTATATGTCGTAGAATAGCGCCAAACGGCAGGCTGTCGTGATTGCACAAGGGGCAGGTATCTCGCCCTGACATCGTTCAAACCATACTCTTACTTCCAGGGCGACCATCTTGACTCGCTCCACGCGCCGAACATCTCCAATGTGAAGGCACCGGAGATAGCATCGGGTCCTTGAACAGCTCCGTGGTGCTCTCTTTGCTGCTCGTCTCGAAGTCTGTCATCTTCGTCTCGATATCCGTCATCTTGTAGATCTCGAAGCTAGTCTTCTTCTTCTTCATCTTCTCCAATGTGCCAGTGTTCGATCGCGATCGGTTGGATTCTTTCGATACATAGCCGTCGGAAGAGTGTCGTGTTTTCCACGTCTCGGCTCTGAACAGGCTGTTGATGACGGGTGCGTTGACTGCAAAGATGGATACTATCTGTTCGAAATTATTAGACATCATTGTAGTGCGGCATGCTAAAAGTAGTAAGACTTACAGCCTCGCGCTGTGCCCATACTGAGGAAAGAGCGACCTCAACAGAGGAGCCGATGGATAGGATACAGCGAGCGATCGCCATCCCCATAACGAAAAGACCGAGAGAGAGGAGAAAGATGACGCGGATTTTGCTGTGATGCCGATTAGCTTGGCTTCTGTCCAGGTGGCGCGTGAACTTACCGCCAGAGGCTGATCTTCGCATCTTTCAACATCCACAAAGGTACGACCAGCAGCAAAGCATCCACTCTGTCAACGCGTTAGTTTGCAACCACTGAATTTCATATTGATACTCACAGGACGTTTCCGACAGCGATCACGATGTTGATGACAATGCCGGCTGAACACTCCTTGCCTGGGTCAGGAAGGATCTGCCAGTTCCGCTTCAAGGGCAAACAGTGTGTTGTCTGCGTGATGATGGCGGCTATGCATGCAGCAACCGAGATACAGGCTATGGCCTGAACGTAGTAGTAGAGCCTAGTGCTCCTCCTGTGCCGGCGAATAAGTATTAGTCATTTGGAAGCAGAAATAAACTTACGTCAAACGGAGGAAGAGAACGATGAGGGATCCTTTCAGACTCCAGACTAGAAAGATCAAGAAGTAGAAAGAAGCGAACATGCCCTTTGCCCCCTCTCGCATCGACTTTCGCATTGCAGGTGGAAGCGCTTCACGCTGCGCTTGAGACATGGCTATAGGCGCACCCATTACATCTGAAGTAGTGTTAGTCTAGTGATCCAATACCAAAGAACTTGCGTTGGTCAACTTACTGAGATACTCTACCATAACATAGATCATGGTGAAGAAGACCCAACTGCTCAACATGAACAAGTCGCCCGCGTCGAAGCCTCTCCATCCCAATGTCTTCCATCTGGTGAAGAACCTCGCAGCGATGATGGCACTTCCAATCGCATACTCGGTTCGGCATTCGATGAGCGTCGCATTAGGGTCAGACATCGTCGTAGGTCGTTGCAAAAGAAACTGGGCGAACTGTTGCGCTAGAAAGCGTCCACTTGGAAGATTGTGCTATATGAAGTATGCATTCTTTGGAAAGACTGTTGTTTAGGAGTAAGCACGGCATCTCTGCACAGTGCTTCAGTCTCTCAATTCGGATAGGAAAGAGTCGATGAAAACTGGGGGAAGGATTTCTTAAGACAGGGATCGGTCCTGAGGAGAGGCAAGACTCATGATGAGATGACACTCCTTTACCGAGCCTGGATTTGGTTCCTTGCATGTCGATGCGACCCTTTACTGGTAAAGGCGGCCATCAGCAAGACCTCAGTCGAGCGTATCATGAGTTTCTCGCCCTTGCTGCCTGATTCGCTTGGGCACGCATAAGACGGCGAATAGTCATGAGCCATGGATGATAGCTCGCTCGGGCGGGAGATTACTGAATCGGGTGGCGTGAGTTATAGGCGGGAATAGGTGCGGCTCCCGTTAAGGCGCATGCCGTCTTGATGTCGCTGCGCGAACGCGGGCGGACCCTTCCACTGGTTCCTCGCTTGCGACTTTCAACGCTCATCCTGATTGCTTCAGGGCTAGTCTTGCACTGAGGAGCGGCCCCTCCCAGCACGTGCCGAAAGGCGGTGTCCTGAACCACCTTTCTGTGCATGATCGCCCATGTTCGCTTGTACATGCCGATGTGCGATGGATTTGTGATACATTCCGTGTTGTTTGGACCT